TTGTCCGCTGTTTGTTGTTCGCTGTTCGTTGTTCGACGTTCACCGATTGTTGTTCGTCATTCGCCGTTCTTTGTCCGCTGTTCGATGTTCGACGTTCATCGTTTGTCGTTCGCCGTTCTCTGTTTGTTGTTCGTTGTTCGTTGGTCGCTGTTCGACGTTCACCGTTTGTTGTTCGTCACTTGTCGTTCACCAGTCGTTGGGTGTTTGTTGTTCGCCCTTCGCTTTCCTCGACCGCTGTTCGTTGTTCGCTGGTCGTCGTTCGACGTTCACCATTTGCTGTTCGTCATTTTCAATTCATCGGTCGTCGTTCGCCATTCACCATTTGTTAATCGCCATTCCTCGTCCGTTGTTCGCCCTTTGTGGTTCGTCGCTATTGCGACGGTCGAGTCCACAATGCGCCTCGTTTCGCGAGATGACCCAAGCTATTTTGGCCTAATTCAAGCCACGAAATCTCCTCCAGGCCGATCAGCAGTTGCGAAGAGACCATCGTGACGGCTTCACTGGGTCTCTTGACGCGCCCGTCGGCGAGGCATAGCACACCGGAACGCACCGAACATTCTGCAAACTGGAGGCTGTTGTCGAGACGATAGTTCGTGTTGGCGTCAATGTTAGCCCTGGTGTTGGTGTGTCTGTCCAACTGTTCTGCTTTCACAAATTGTCTCGGCGTTTAGCTGGTCATTCGCTCTATTCCCAGACCAGGTTGGGTTGACGACAAGACAAGATGCTACCGATGGCTGCTTCAAGCTGCACAAGATGCCTATTGAGGCCCCGTGAAGAGGGGATTCTGAGGACTGGCGAATGTAGACAAGCCAATCACGTGTTGACGACTGATCGGTTCGTGACCAATCAGCGGCCCGGTGGCACGAAGAAGCCTCCGTCCACTGCAGCTTGTGTGTGCCTAATTGGGAAAAGCAAAGCCGGAAGGGTGAACTCCATCCGGGACCGATGGAGGCTGCAGAATGGCATCAGCAAGAGGCAGTTTTGGCGGAGGTGTTGACTTCCCTCGAAGTCAGCTGACTATACACTTCCAGTGCAACCCTCGGTCCAGGTTAGCTGCACGCCGATGGTATGTCCGACAAGTGATGAACTCATGGATGCAACCTTTGGTGGGGCATTTCTCATTCTCTATCAAGCCTCACCACGAAAAGTTGGGTTTCGAGCAGTCTCTTGTTTCATAATTGTTGAGCTTACTTCCATTTCGAGTGAAAGTGTTGAGCGATGAGATTCGAAGGTCCGTTGCACCAGAAGACGGCGGCGGATTCCTCTTGACCAACTGTAGATTGGCT